GCTAAATTAGGGACGGCTAGCGCAGATAGCCCTCGTGTAGCTTTGCGCGAAATTCCAAAACAAACAAGCAATCATTTATAAAATATTTATTTATTCTGCATACATTCAATTCGATGTAACTGTGTTTGAGATAGAGTACCTGCGTTTATTTAATTATAATAAAATACGTGGAACTGTAAAGTACTAATGAGATTTAATTCAACTGTAACATTTCAGATAACGAATGATAATTTTATTTAAATCCCTTAACGATTTTTGGCATAAAATAACTTACACTTAATTAAGAGATTATTGACCGAAAGTTCTTATCTCTGAATCAAACAAAAACCCTTTTCCGCTTAGAAACTGTTATTTGTAATGTGATTGTCTTGGGTTTTTTTTTCTAAGGTGTCTCTAAGGTCAATACACATGCAAAAAAGTCACTTAGTTTCATTGTACGATATATTTGTTTGACATAGATTATCCAATTCGCAGACTGGAACGGTGAAAAGAGCTCCCAATAATAGTCTAAGATGTTAATATAGCTTATTTTTAAAGAGTACAATGCCCTAATAAATACATAGATAAACTTTAGACTTGTTAAGCGTAAATTTGATGATGATTGTTTTTATTTGCCAAAACATAACTAATTTAGTACAAATCTTAATGTTTTTTGGTTTTTTTTGGAGTTATTGACTCATTTTAAAATCCACGATATTTATGCAATTAATGACTTTGAGTAGCGTACTTATTACTGAAATGGAAAGAAAATCAGTGATGGAACTGCCTGATGTGTTTGATTCTTTGAGTTCCTGAGTCGCGCATTGGTAAAACAAGAGGGAATCATCAATAGCCACACCACTTAAAATTATTTTAGGCAGGATTAGAATAAATTAATCTATGAGTACCTTTTTTTTTCCTTTTCATTAGCTATATTTTTGTGTGCCAGTAATACCAAGTGTGGGGCGCGCATATACCCGATCCAGTTTTATTATTCATCAGGATCTATACAAGCCTACCCTTAAATGGAAATTCTTTTAGAAAGGATTAGTATAAATTGATCTATGAGACCTTGGACATGGTCAAATACATAAATCGAAAGGGTTTGACCTCCTAAGTCCAAAACTATAATCATATCTCAAATCGTTCAAATGATGACGGAACTATGAGGTAGAAGTATGTACTTGAAGAAAAAAAAACGACAAATCTCAAAGCCGTTCTATCGGCCGTTATGCCGCGGCTAATAATTATGTGTACTTACTTGTTGGTCAACTCAAGTTCGCAAGTTTGTTCCCAGTATCGAACCAGTGAGACATAATTAAAATAATCCATTACCATAACAACCAAAAATACTGAAAGTAGGAGATATAAGTTATCTTAGAGAAGTTTGTAGTAGTTATTCCCATTAGGAAGGAATGTTTATCATCATAAATAAACATACACAATATATTGTTATCGCTTAGAAATTACTTAAGGTTGGGGAAATTTATTAGCAGCACTTTTAAACTAAGACATTTTATTTGCATGAGGGTTAATGTGAAAGTTTTAGGGTTGTTACTCTGTATTTTACTCAAAAACTACTCGGTAAACTTCTGTTAAAATCGGCACATTCTCGCACCGGAAATATTGTTTGTTTTAGTGCAAAGCTGCATAATAAACTATCTGCGCTCTGTCTGCCGCGGGGAATCGATCCACAGATTTTAGCATTGGAATCCGTAAACGTACTGCTGGTCCATTGGGGGACCTGGAAATATCAAAAACTGAATACTACACGAAAGATCAAGTAAAAAAAAAAAGTATTAGAAGATGTTTTTATTTAGTATATTTACTTCTCTTGTCATTTCATAATGTAATTGATGTTTTACTAAAAAAATATATATCTTTCTTAGATCAGAAGTACCGAATTCCGAAAGCTGACATGGTTATCACAAATACAGGATTGTTTTCTTTTCATCAACCAAAAACGTACAAGAGTAATACCGAGTTTTGCGAAATAACTTCTATAAAAAATAAATTAGAGACGGCTAGCGCAGATAGCCCTCATGTAGCTTTGCGCGAAATTCAAAACAAACAAACTTATGAGTTGGGAGAGTGTTGTAAAAGTAACAATGAAATCCCCACTACTCGATTATAGTGACCCACGAGTTGGCGGTGGGTGCTGTTGACGGCTGTCTTCCCTCTAGTTTATTTTAAAATTATATAGAACTAGCTCAGATTGTCCGTGGGTAGGATTCTGAAACGTTCATCCATGTCCCCTTTTTGTCAATAAACAATGTTATATGTCATAAGTGTCGTAATCTTGTTTATTAATTCATAATAATAGTGGAACAATGGTTTTTGCTGATGGGATTTAAGCGCTAACACCCCATAAACCTCAGAACTATTTGTGCTGTATAGAGTCACTGACATTTCTCTGCCAACTTTTCATATAACTTCGCCGTCGGATCCACCGTTCCTCTCGACTTATATATATGTATGTGTACACCAAACTTCAATGGCTAAATTGACCGGAGGTTCCGATCTCCAGCGATCTGTCTAGTATCGTAATTAACCATTAGTTTAGTCTATAGAGTCTAAAGAGCTACACTGTTATCATTTTTCAGTTGTCCAACAAGAAAATATTTATCAATATTGTTATTATTACTTGTTTCAACCTTCAACTTTGCGAGTTTTAAATATTCATTGATGAAACAATTTAACGCTAGACGGCAGCATATGACAGTAGCGTACCTGTTCTTTGTATATGAGTGTGTGTGTGAGAGAGTAATTGATGAAGCAGGTTTCTGATAGTTATGTGACTGCAGGAAGCTCTTCATCATGTACTTATTTTAAGATAACTTGAAGAAAATAAAATGAAGATAATAATCACAATAAATAGATTTTTCGGTTTATATTCTATGAACTTTTTGGTATTTCACATACACGTTTTTCCTGATATCAATAGTAATGTCCCCTCTTCACCCTTCGCACTTCCTCCTACCACTGACGTTTCTCATTTTATGGTTTTTGAAATCTGGTCGCCATGCTAATTAATGATTAATGTTATGTCGAGGAAAAATTTATAATGGTAATTTTGCTGTTTTAATATACCAGTGATCAATATTGGTAAAATTAACTAATCAGTGAGTGCTAAAACCTTAAACAATTAATTACTCCTGATATGGTTCATGCAATTCTGGTGAATAACGCACGACGTAATGCTTTTTTAAAGTATCCTAGCGGCAAAATGAAAAGTAATATTTTGTTAAAGCTTCTATTGTTGCTGTCACACCGAACTTTAGAAAAAGTATTTAACGAAGTAAAAACTTTGATTTTGTTTCTCCTTACGTTTAACAGCGATAACTCCTAGTGGTTACTCGAAGAACTATTCACATAAATTATCATTTTACTGAGATATCACGCATAGAAGGTTTGAGAATAGCGTGTTTCCCTTCTGGAGCCTTTGCGACAGAAAGAAATTCAATTAAAATCGATACTCGTTTCCACACAGCTACTGAAAATATCCTTCGCTCGTAAACGTCTCTCGAGTAAAAATACCGAAACCGGACAAATGCGCCGTAATAAACTACACATCTTCAGAAGGCACGTCGTTTGTAACAGCGACGCGTGCGCTAATTCAAAGCCAGCGCGTTTTTATTCGCCACTTAACTTCCTGTGCGCGATAACGACCATGTAACTTTTTACCGCAGCGGAAATACTTCATCACGTAACTCACTTAAATGTGGTTTTATTTTAAATGTACTTCGGTAAAATATTATGATGCATCTTACATTTTTTTATTAATATTTTTAAATATTAATTACATACCCGGATTTAATATAATTAACATACTGTAGTCAAAAGATATACACACACAAGAAAAAAAGTTAATTAATACACCTTCTAACTTCTATGCACGAAAAATATATTTGCATACCAAAAAAACCTATGTACAAAAGATATTTAAATTATTAAAATGTTAATTAATATACCTTCTAACTTCTATGCACGAAAAATATACATATTTGCATACCAAAAAAACCTATGTACAAAAGATATTTAAATTAGTAAACTGTCTAAGTTTATAAGAAACGTTAAGGTAATTTAATTTTAAGTTTTAGATCTGGTTGTTTCTTTGTTTAGGCGTACAGAATGGGCTCTGATATAATAACTCAAGCCCAGCACTAAACCACAAAGGAGTTTTTAGATGCAAAAGTTTTATATATCTATGTCTGATAAATTCAAGTATCAACTCTATCATCAGGATAAATACTCCCCCTACAACCACCATTTTTATCTATCTTAGTTTTTACACGGCATTACTTAATTTAACATTTTTCACAAATATAAATTTAGAATATGTCGAGAAAATCGAATGACACTTTTCTCAAAATATGCGTATATTATATTTATTTTTATATTAGATTGTTGGAGTCAGATTCAAAGTCACTAAATTCTTTGGTCCAGTCTCATTCACGGAAATCGTCGGATACTAGTATGGTGTCTGCTCAATCTTCACAGAGCCACCACAGTGCACCCCTGGAAGATGAGCAAGTTGAAGATGTCTGGCTAATTTGGGGGAAGATAGTTAACGACTGGGATAATCACATGAAGAAGAAGAATCAATATGTTAGAGTAAGCTATTTGAGCAGTGTATCTTTATGTTGTATTATTAAAGTACAAAAAAGAAAATCTTAAAATCTCTGTAAGGAATAAATAATCATGTAGTCAACATTTCAACCGAGTGATCTGGTCCCGAAGAGATCGTCTAGCCTAAATATCGATCATTTACTTATCTTTTTCCAGTACAACGATTTTAATATATTTTTATTTTCCGAATGTATAGTTGCTGTAACTATATTTGTTTGTCATCTGTGTCATTAAAGTAAGCTTTTGTTTTACATGTTGTCGCGGCATTTCAATCATACCATTCAACTCATACTGTTAGGATGGAGACAATTATTTATTAGCCAAACGACAACTTAACTTTTAGGAACTATTTAGCTTTCCAGGATGCGGATCAGAAGGTCCAAGTTTCACGCTGCAGTGTGGCTAAACAAGCTACGCACTTTCAACCGTAGATGCGTTATAGGAAAGACAATTAATCCCGTTATTCGGTTCAAAGCTGAACAAAGCTCTTTTGGCGGCAGAGCTGTCGATTAATTCCAAATTTGGATAAGCTATACCTGACCGTTTAGCACATGTGCGATAGGGTACCTCTCAGGTTGAAAACACCATCACAAATGAAACATTAAAACAAGTAATTTTTACGGTCATGTTTGAACAATAGCGTTTAGACAGAACAAATATTACTATTCAAATATCGAAGAACGTAAGAGAGAGAGAGATGTTAGGGATTATTACCTGTTTCATTTCTAGTATCTCTGCTAGTCTCTAACAGACAATGACAAATGTTTATAACATTAAAAGTATACAAACTTGATTATATAGCGCAAACACCTCGAGCACGTCACGTGATTACTCAAACGTTCTCCATACTTATACAGAAAAGGCCACAGTAGTGTTAACTCTACGTCACTATCGAGAGTTTTTGTGCACACAACTTACAGCTTCATGAACATCAAATTAGCTCTTTATAACCGAGAGTGAAGTACTGTGAATCCTGAATGAAAAATGTTCATATTAATAAATAAATAAATACTGTCCGTACAATTAATAAGATCTGGGAATGTATAATCTACATCATGCAGACCAGAAAACAAAAACTAGAATAAGGACGTAGATGTGAAAGTTTAGTAAATGGGGTTGTTTTCTTTTAAGTTGTATTTAAATACACACAATCCAATACAATGTAATTAAAGTAAAAACCATATCGCTTATTAACTAAGCATTCTACTTACAGACAGACGGACCAGTAGCTTACTCTTTACTAACCCTAACATATGTCAGTTTGTTTTTATTTCATTGTCATAAGTTAATGTTTTTTTCGTTGTTATAGCAATAGATAATGTCTAGTTAAATTCGCAACGCTTTTAATGTATCGATGTTAGAAACCACTGAAGGAATACTAGAAGACTGATAACTGATAATATAATAAAATAATGATTGTCTCATATTGTAGTTATTGATCTCCATTTTGATGTTCTTCAGCTGTTATAAAGTTACGTTATTGTTCTCCGTGTTGATTTCTTTTTCAACTGTTATGAAGTTAGGTTCTAAAAATTAGCTTTTCAAATGTCTTGTTTAGTGTTTCTCATTTCATGAAAGCTTAATATGTTTTTATTAGTCTTCTCTTAGTTTGGAAAAGTTGTCCCTTTGATAAAATCTAGTTTAATAGTTGCAGGTGAAAAGCAATAAAAGACTGAGCTTCAACTGAGTATTTGTTACAGTTACACAAATTTGTGCTTTTAATGATATCTTTCAACTACTGATTACTTCTAAACCACTATATCATGATGTTAATAAATACATCCAACAAGAAATCAAATTCATTATACATAGCATCTGACATGCCATATTGACGTGGAACACTAAAGTGTTGAAGTTTTTCCTGAAAATTAATGTTGACTGGATAGTAACCGAGTTCCAAGATTATAATAAAAGTAGATCAATAAAACATTAAAATAAAAGTCCGTTCTTTCCCAATCTGCTCATTGCAGGCGAATAGTGACGAGGATATTAAAAGTTGTAACTTATAGCGTCATAGCGTAATAATAAAGGAATAATATTTTTTATGTATCATATACTGCAAACAACAGTGTATCACACAGCTTTCTGTTTTCTCTGTCCTGTGTACAAGCACTTAACAGATCAATAAATTGCATATTCTTGGGGTTCTCGTGTCTTAATGATACAACATACTGTACGTGTACCTCTTGAAAAAGTAATATATAGTAATCTAGAACTTATAACGTCATAGCGTAATAATAAAAGGACATGGAAAACTTTATATAATTACGTTTGATAAAACTAATCATAGTTTTCATTTCTTCAGGAACTTGTTAGAAAAGGAATTCCTCATCACTTCCGAGGTGTAGTTTGGCAGTTGCTATGTAACGCACAGAACAGTCCAAGCAAGGAACATTACGCAGAGTACATCAAGAGCTCTTCTCCGTGTGAGAAGGTAATTCGTAGAGACATCGCCCGAACTTATCCAGAACATGAATTTTTTAGAGAGAAAGATGGACCTGGTCAAGAGGGTCTCTTCAACGTGATGAAAGCTTACTCACTCCATGACAGAGAAGTGGGATACTGTCAAGGAAGTGCCTTCATTGTTGGTTTGTTACAGCTGCAGGTGAGTATCATTGTTGACTTGCTACAGCTGCAGGTGAATATCATTGTTGGCTTGCTACAGCTGCAGGTGAGTATCATTGTTGACTTGCTACAGCTGCAGGTGAATATCATTGTTGGCTTGCTACAGCTGCAGGTGAGTATCATTGCTAGCTTGCTACAGCTGCAGGTGAATATCATTGTTGACTTGCTACACCTGCAGGTGAATATCATTGTTGACTTGCTACAGCTGCAGGTGAGTATCATTGTTGACTTGCTACAGTTGCAGGTGAATATCATTGCTAGCTTGCTACAGCTGCAGGTGAGTATCATTGCTGGCTTGCTACAGCTGCAGGTGAGTATCATTGCTGGCTTGCTACAGCTGCAGGTGAGTATCATTGTTGGCTTGCTACAGCTGCAGGTGAGTATCATTATTGACTTGCTACAACAGCAGGTGAATTTCATTGTTGACTTGCTACAGCTTCAGGTGAGTATCATTATTGACTTGCTACAACAGCAGGTGAATTTCATTGTTGACTTGCTACAGCTGCAGGTGAATATCATTGCTGGCTTGCTACAGCTTCAGGTGAGTATCATTATTGACTTGCTACAACAGCAGGTGAGTTTCATTGTTGACTTGCTACAGCTGCAGGTGAATATCATTGCTGGCTTGCTACAGCTGCAAGTGAATATCATTGTTGGCTTGCTACAGCTGCAGGTGAGTATTATTGTTGGCTTGCTACAGCTGAGTAATGATCTCTTTTGACAATTACAAGTAGAGGAGGGAAGTTTTGGCCTGCTAAAACTACAGATGACAATTATTACTCTGCTACGAGTGAAGATAATACGATCCTTATGCTACAAACGAATAGTGTCTGTGTACCACTATTACTGTTACTACTAGTAGTACTGTGGTGTTAAATGTGAGTTGTAACACATTAGTAGTGGTAATAATATTCACAATAAGTGGGATTATTTTTGAACATTTGCAAGTAATTTGGTGATTTTATTGGATATTTTAATAATCACCGAGATGTTTCTAAAACAATAGGAAACTGGAGATTTTAATTTGGAAGGATTTAATAATTTTTAAATGTGTGAGATGAAAGAGGAAAGGAATTATAATATTACATAAAATGTATTTAACTATAGATTTGTTGGAAATAAACTTGAAAGATGTAAACATTTTGGCATTTACTATAAAATACATAATGAAAAACCTTTTAAACTTCCTATTTTAAACCTTCAAATTACAACTCGAACTATGACATTTTAGATTTGGAAAAGATTCTGCAATAATTTCAATATTATCTGGTAGATTGTTCAGGCAGAGTATACATGATGAAATTTAGTTGAATGGACGACAGTTGCCAGTTGTAGAACCACAGATGGCAGTTGCCTTCCATTAAATTAAATCTCATCATTTTCAATATTATAGATATATATATCTTGGTGGTATAAACATCAGTATTATAGAATACAATGACCTGTCTGGTGATTATCAGAACTTGTTATATTTTTCGAAAAAAATATAGATAATGTTGGGATGGCAATGCCAAAAAGTAAAGAAAAAATTTAGGGATTAATGGACAAAACCATAAACCATACAAAAATCCCTACATATAAGTAGCCATATATTTCCATGAAACTTATCTACAACTATATGTTAAATTCCTTTCATTTGCATGAATTCAAGTTTGAATAAAAGTATTTAAACTGAACAATGCTATATAGTCTTACAATGGCTAATTCCCATAAGTTCATAACATTGACTCAGTGGCTACTTGTGTAGGAATTTCTGTATGTTTCTGTGTATTCATTCCTACCTCGTTTCTGTACTTTTGGCATCTCTACATCGTCCTTATTTCTTTTAAATTTTTTTATTGTTTGTTTCTCCTCTTTTTTTTCTTCTCTTTTTTTTTAATGAATGGCAGTCGTTATGAAGGCAGCAGTTTTAGCCTGGTGTGATGACTTGTCTTGATGGCCATCATGTGTTGAAGTTAGTGAAACGCTATACTATTTCTGCACTCCCCGAGTTAAAATGCAATATTTTGGTGTTTAAATCGTCGCAACAACGTCAAACACTGGTGAGCTAGCCCTTCTGACGCCAGAATCAGAATAATCAGAACATTTGGCCGTTACGCTACTCGCCGGTTCTCTACTTTACCGATGTTTTTTGGCTAAACTGAAGGTCTTGATAGCTTTTGAAAACCTCGAAAACTAAAGTTAGGTGTTTATAAAAGTCTCTTACAGTGTTATAAGAGAGATTTGAGTTTATGATGAGCAACACCTGATATGCGACGGCCATTTTTTCCCGGCTCATCCTTACATACTTACCACTACCGTGTTTAGTGATGTGACCTGGTGGTCAAGGCGCTCGATTCACAACGTGCGGATCGCGAGATCATAACTTCGCTGAATAAGCTCACCTCCTCTGTTGAGGTAGAGGGAGGTGGGGGACTTATATTCCTATGGTCAATCCCACTTTTCGTTGTTAAAAAGTGGCCCAAGAATTGGCGGTCAATATTGCTGACTGGTTGCTTTCAGTTTAGTCTATCAGTTCAAAATTAATGACGACTAGCGTAGATAGGCCTCGAATAGCTTTGCGCGAAATAAAGTAAAAAAAAAAACATTTTTGTAACTTTATAAATGGATTTAAATGTATTAGTTTGATGTCTCTTGTTATTTGACAAACCAAATAAGTGATTTCTGGGCAGCAAAAACGTCTCTAATGAGTCTAAATTTGTTTTATAAGCATTTATTTTATATTCCTAAGCCATGAATTTTGAGATACAAATATGGGTACCAAAAAATGCGTGTGTTTCAACATGATTCAGTTTTCAGGGGTTAATGTAGTTAAAGTCGAGACTGCAGTTCCTTGTGCCTGCGCTGTTAATTGACTGCATATTATCTTTTACTTTGAGAGTAATATCATCTGGATGGTTTGGTTTTGTAATATAAGATACAGCATTATTCTAGAGCTAGAATATTGATCTTCTAAATCAAGCAACTTGTACAGTGACACAAGAGGGCACTTAAAACTGTATTATAAGAACTAATCTCATTCTGGCATGGCGGATCTGTTTTAGTTATTTGTT